CTGCGATGTCTGAAGCTGCGGAGGTTGAGACTGGGGCTGTTGCTGCTGCTGATACGAAGGCTGAGAGTGAGGGGTCTGGGATGGAGGCTGCTGGGAGTACGGAGGCTGCTGCTGCTGGGGATGAGGGCTCTGCTGGTTGTAATACGGAGTCTGGCTTTGCTGCCCGTAAGCACTGGGACCCTGCTGTCCGTAAGGAGGAATCTACAGAGGAAGAAGACAGAGTTACACCAGTTATGCAGGTACTTTATGTGCACACCCAGAGATTATGCTCAAGAAGAAAAAAAATCAGAGAGCAACTAACTAGGAATGCACTGGAAATGCCACAACTTAGATACTTCCCAGACAAGAGCAAGGCCACTTGTGTATGACATTATTTGTTAGCACAAAATTTCAACAGGCACCTTAACTAAGTTTTTAGGGACTCCTATCTGATCACCCTTCAATGACATTGAAGGGAAAGACTGCTTACTTGAAAAAATAATTTAAAAAAAGGCAGCCTTTTGAATCCTGAATCATGTAATGAGCCAAAACCTGACCTTTATAGAAGAAATCACTTCAGAACATCCATGTCTTCATCAGAAAGACTATCTTCTTCCCCCCCGCTATTTATTTTCCCCTTGTTTGATTCACTGCCCTGCTGCCGCCTCTCTTGGAAGCAAGGATTCCACAGTCCCTCCTACATCGCTCACACCTGGATCCAGGTGCGGCGAAACCCGTAGCCTAAAGAAACACCGTTTTACCGAAGAAACTGATTCCAACCGGGCTGAAGGTGGTCCCTTCAGAAGACACAGTACTTTGTCGCTCTTCTGCCCGCCCCTGCTGTCAGAGGCGACAGGAGCTTGGGTGCTCTACCTGCTGTGCATAAGAGATGCTGCCCATTGTACTTTGCGTCCTGCTTTGCATTCCCATGGGGTATCTCTGGGGAGTCTGTGGCCCGTAGGGCTGTCCCGGGTAGCCGTGTCCTTGCTGCGGCCCCGCCTGAGGTCCCTGTTGCTGTGTGTAGGGGTTGTTTCCTCCGTAGGGCTGAGGCCTCATCTTCCCCATCTGATCCATCGGGCTCGAAGGCTGCAAAGCAAATTGCGACACACGATGTACATCCAGCTGCACACGGGGATCGTTCACAACTTCCCCAAAACCCCAGAAGGGAAAAGCTTCAACAGGTTGGCGCAGGGAAGCTCATCTGTCTCTCCCCCCACCCCAGTCACATTCTGAATTACAGGAGGATACCTGCTGCTCTTTCAAACCTACGGACGTTTCACACAGAACGCACCCGACGAGAAGAAATCATTTTACGCTGACAGATCTCCCGTGGCCGGAGGACGGGAAAGAAGGGGGGAAGGATCATTAAGAAAGATGAATCATCAGTGTAAGTGGCTTTTCCCCACAGTAGGTAGTAGTTTCCTGTCCAGATATCCCACAACAAGGTAAATTTAGGCTGAAAATTTAAACATGCACAAGAAACACTGCTTCTTTCACATAGAACAAGGTCTCCCAAAACACTACAGGCTGTTAATTTACACTTACGCATTTCAATTAATCCATATTGACGTAGTAATACTGGGCAGTGCTACCAACATTCAAGGCTGCAATTCCGTTTTTGTACTTTTTTTTTTTTAACTTGTGCTTTGTGTCTGCTGCCTTTTGTAGACTAAAGGTTTCTAAATCAAATTTATTTGGATCCACGGGGAAAAAAATAAAATAAATAAATAAATATGTCAGCCCTGAAAGTCAGGTCCCCAAGTTTTAGAGCAGACACGATGAGACAAAGGAATAAACGCAACTTTCTGAGGACTTCCTAACCTGTACCGCCCCTGCCTGAAGCCAAGACATAAGAACAGTCAATCGAATTCCTGAAAATGCTACAAACCTCCAAACACGGTCTTTCTACCCAGGCAGTACCATTCCCACACTAAAGCAAAGACCATTTTGGGGCGTAGTGACCTCTAAATGAATCTCAGGCGCAGTCTTTAACCTCCATCACTTGGCCTGAATAAGAATTGTTCCCTGATCTCCTGATGACCTAACTAATACCAATTAGATGTTTTCCACCGGATCACCATGACAATGGACTCTCTATTACACCATTCCTTCCTGCAAACTAGCCCTAGGGTGGTATTTGTACAGATCCACCCTCTCTGGCTGAGATCAGGTGCTCGAGGAGTGGCATCGCAGGCCTGCACAAGCAAATATCGCACAGAGCCAGCTCCTGCTAGAAAAAAAAAAAAAAAAAAACAACCTCAGATCGTAACAGGATTTCGAAAACACCCTGAGATCGGCACAGGATTTCAGTTATGTTCACAGAATCCACCCTCCTAGGGGAGGAAAGAGGGGGGGGAAAAAAAAAAAAGAGGAAAAAAAGTCTGTGCAGTATGCTACACTTCAGAAAATCCTACCCCAACAGCCAGCACAGCTTGAAGTCCCAACACACAGACCCTGAAAACATTTGTTTGACCAGCTGTCTGCTATGTCTTGCCTGCCAGGGAAGCCAGGCAGCCCCGAGCCCGCGCCGAGCGGGAGCGAGGAGGGGCCCGACTGGGAGTTAATGGTGCTCTCGGGGAGCAACAGGAGCTGGGCCCTGGCAGGGGACTTAACCGAGAGGGCAGGAGAAGCATCCTGGTTTCAGGAAGGTGGGGCTAACCCACTCGACTGAAATCAGGATCAAATCTGCATTGATACAGCACAAATCAATGAAGAACCGGGTCCAAGCGCCTTCCTCCGCTCCAGCCCAACCCCAGACACCCCTGCAAATACGGCGTTTGCCATCCCACGGAAGCAGCTCAGGGACGATCGTGTGTGCGGCACCAGTACGACTCGCTCCGTCGATGCCCTGCCACGCTCGGTTACGCTGAGGGTTTCCATTTCCATCCCTACTGACGGTAAAACAGTTCTGAAAAAGTTGCGTTTTACGTTCAAGTTACCACAGATGCTACTGCTGAGGAGTAACCCAGACAGAGATCAGATCACGCACCCACATGCGGGTTTTGTACCTTACTCTGAAAAGGAGCTTCCATTCAGCGGGTCAAGTTAAAAAACCAAAACAAGTCTTTGATGGCTTCAGAACCTTCAGAGCCTCAGTGAGTCACCTCCCGAGTGGCAGCACCCATGTGGAGCTTTCATACCCCCTCATGGATGCAAATCCTGTTTACATCTTTCAAGCAATTGTCCCTGAGTCTTGCCTTAGATTACTGACATCTTCTCCCTCCTCACATTATCTCCTTTGGTATGTAAAAACGCTGCCACCAGGACTGCTTCCAGCCCCTAGCCCCGACAAGTCCAGCCTCCCCTTCACCACCCCCAAACATGCAGCTGCTTCCTCCTTCTACCTGGTTAAGTGCAACTTTGGGGCTCCCCACTGAACATTTCAGCATCTTTTCCGTTCTTTACTTGCTTCCTCACAGGTCTTTTTCTCCTTCGCAGCCCGTTAGCAAGGGCAGCCTCTCAAATACACACTTGTTGGAGGATTTTTTTTTAATTTTTTTTCAAATACCACACGCTGCCTCCTCTGCACAGATTTTTCTTGTCTGTGGTCACCCACAGAGCTAACCCTATCTTCAAGAAGGATCGAAACAAGGTGAAAATCCACTTTTCCATGAGTCCTACAGGAAGCATGACGACTGTTAAAAAACTTCAAGAAACATTTGGAACTGCTTATGCAGCCATCAAAACAAACCAAAAAAAAAGAAGGTAGAAAAGAAAAAAAAATTATTTCCAGGATGTGACCAAGTCATCACCTTGATTGCTCAGCGTAGGAGTGCGCGACGTGTTTCTAAAGTGCGCTGCTTTGAACCGCCACTCTTCCACGAGGCCCTAGCACACAGAGGATGCTAAAAACAAACATGAAGAGCATCACTCTAAATTACAGCCTTACAGATAAAACTCTATAAACAGAAGAAATGTAAACGCCAATTAATCTCTAATGAAGGAACTATTTCGTACACGCGCTCCTGATCCGGCGCAAAGCGAGAGGCTAATTCGTGCTCCCTGGGGCTGCCGCGTATGTCTCGAACGCCGCTGCGACGCGTTGTTTCTTCCTCCGAGATCTCCCATTAAAGACACACGTCTCGCTCGCCGACGGGGTTTGAACCGCGCTTGTCTTGGTTGTGTTGCTCTGGCTGGAAGAGCCTACCATGGGGAAGTCAACTTGGCTCTGGAACCTCAACCCTTTTAAGGGTAATTTCACCACCCGCGCCTCCAGAAAAGAACGGTCCAAGTTGAAATGTGGTGAAGAGCGGCTCGATCCGAGAGCTCACAGCTCCCGTGTCGCACCAGACGGGGAAGCCAAGAGGAAGTAACGCCCGCTCGCTCGCAAGAACGCTGCAGGATAAATAAGGAAATACCAAACCCCGACTGCAAAAGGCTGGAGATTCTTCTCTGGGCTGATACATGGGAAATCCTTTCAATAGGAAACCGCAGGAGTAGATTACTGTGATTACACTTCAAAAGCAAAGGCCCTGCCACAGAGAGACATAATTGAGAGAAAGTGTCGCTCCTTGATCACTGAAGTCCAGACCCCCTGCTTACACCTCCTTGCATTCATAGAAACCGCTTCTATTCTCCCTTCAGCCTGAGAATCTCTGCTGTTTTACAACACTGTGAAGTACCAAAACCTGGCAAAACACAGCCCCGTCAGCAGTCGAAACTTTCAGAAGCAAAGTTGCTTGGTACGGCACGGTAAGCCAGTGCTCCACAGAAATTGCTGAGCTTTCGAGAAAATTTAAGATACTTCTAGACTAAGAGCTTGTAACAGCAAGCCCGAAGCGAGCTTAAACTGCCGAGTTCAAAAGCTCTCCGAATCAGTACGTGTAGTGAAAGGGATGTCAGATCCCTAAAATGAAACGGCACGGTGAAAACCTGCTATTCTTCAAAAAAAAAACCAAAAACAAAACAATCCCAAAAGTCAAACACAGGAGTTGTCCTGGGAGGGGGGAAAAAAAAAAAAAAAAAAAAAAAGGCAAGCTTCTAAACAGACAAGAAGAGTCCACAAACAATTCTTTTCAAATTTTGTCTGGTAGAAGAGAAATTTGGCCTCTTTAAAAGAACTCTTTGGTTAAATTGGAGGGGACTCGTTTAATGGTCCCAGCAGGAAAATGAGTAAAGGGAAGAGGCAAATCCCACGTCAGAAGTGAGAGCCAAACCCTTCACAGCTGTACAGAAAAATGTACTTCTGACATTCCCCAATTACCTTATTTCATATTTGTATTTTATTACGCCACAGGAAGAGAAGGATAGTCATTTTCTGAACTCTCCAGTTTCAAATCAGCATCGTTCAGTTATTGGCAAAGGTAGGTATTGGCCCCGATTGGTTTTCTCAGCTGCTCTCCCCCCCTCAAAAAAAAACCAGAAAGGCCAAAAAAAATAATAGAAAAGCCTTAAGCTCTCACCTTGGATCTGAAATCTTTTCCTGACCAGATTTGTTGTCCATTTTTCAGTGATAAAAAATAATAAAAAGCATTACGGGCTGTTTAACCGAGAGAAGCCCTAATTGATTCCCACAGTAATTAACCTGCATTTTACCTCGGAGAGTGGTAGTTAAGGAAGTCGGCACTGCTATTTATAACTCATCTCAAATTGAGGGCAGACTGCCTAAAATCTAACACATCCCAGCTGTACTCCTGTTTGAACTGGGGCCAAGGGAATTTTTTAAAGCAATCTTGGCACTGAATGAATGACACCAACAGTATGAGCGCGCGTGTGGTTGTGTTGTGGTGACGTAGCAGCGGAGGTGGAAGGGGAAGGGGGGGGCCAACGCGCCGTAATCCCTCTCCTGAGCCCGCTCGCCGCGTACAGGCTCGGCCCCGGCTGGGAACAACGGCATCGGAGCCGCCCACCGAGAACCAAACACAGGAAACGTCTTTTCCTGTGGAAGGGCCTTGAAGTGAGAAAGCACATGGCTAATCTGCATAAAAGCAAAGCCACGCAGCTCCTGCCAGGAAGGTTAGTGCTCGTAATCTCTGGCCATGGAGCTGGCTGCCTGCGAGGACTTGGACCAGCGCCTGATAACCCAGAAAGAGCCGAGAACAGATGGGCAAGGACCCCGGCAGAAACGGCGCCGCGCACGTGAC